CTCGGCGGGGGGGTCAGTTACTCTGTGGATGCGCGTCAGTAAGGTGGTTAGCAAATTTGAGAGACAGTTTTTAACCTAACAATATATATATATATTATACACTATTTATCATATACGCAATAAATATACAATTGTTAGAAAGATGTACCCGTGTAGGAGACAGGGGGACCTCGGGCTGCCGGCCAGTGGGTCACCGCCCAGCGCCGCGCCACTCCACCGAGCCGTTCTACCTTCACTTCAACATATATGTTACATACGTTCTCATGTCTTTAGCATGACTAGATTTGTTCAATTTTCATACATTCGCTGATTGGTACGGTTGGTTAACGACTGAAATATATAAATATCAGTTACGATAATCGTATTAACTATTGCTCAATTGGTTGCTTTTGTTCGTAATTTCTTTATGTAAAACTAGTTAGAGCCAGTTATAGCACGGGAGACCTCATCTCAGACGGAAATTGTTTAGTCGCCGCTGGGCCACACTGCCTCCCCCGTTGCCGCGCCCCGTCCCGCAGCACTACTTACGTTGCGTTGTAAACGCCTATACAAACTTATAGGACTGACTTGGGATAGACTATTTTTTTTTATATATCATAAGGTGGCAAACGAGCGAGCGTCCACCTGAAATCGCTGAAATAGCGAAGTGACCGTTGCCCATAGACATACGCAACTGCATATGCGTTGCCTACCTTTAATCGACGGAGGAGAGGATGCACAGAAAGAAAATATAACCCTGGGACAAACTTGAAAATTACCTAAAACTTAACAATACAACTTCGATTACAATACAAAATCTCTAAACAGCATTTTTAACCCAAACACTGAGCGGAGTTTCGGAAGACGTATTGATATTGATACACGGATGGATAATATTTATCCAATTTAGGATGTATTTCGGTAAATTGAAGTTAGGTGAGGCTGTAAATCTATCTCATCTGTAACCCGACGCGACGTGGCCACGGCTCGGTCAATGAATTTAAGGGCTGTACCACACGGTGCGGCGCGGCGTCTGAACGGTGTCGCAGAAGTTTTTTACATATGGAGATGTATGGCTTGCCACGCGCGGTCCGATACGATCTGGCACCGAACAGCAACAAATCGGACAGATCGTGTGGTATGGCACTGACACCGATGCGCGATGCTCGCAAAATTGAATTCTAATTAAGCTAAGGTTAAAATCGATATGCCACAAAATATTACTCTAAGCCAAAGGTATCAAATATAGCGGTGACATTATTTGTAAGACATGAGACAGGTATCTTTGGGTGAGACTACGATATTATGAGCCATTACTAAGGCGGTCGCGTTATTCATGATTTTTTATACAGATAATAAATAATATAAAAGTTGTCTCGGTGCCAAGGCGCGTGTTCTCAACAACGTAACCCACTTTCCATACGATATGTCAAAATCGCGCAAAAGGACATTAGCGCGTGCAGCTGTCACTATATTTATTTATATTTTTACGATGAAATATAATTTTAGTCATTTCTTTTTTTGCACAAACACCTGCCTTTTTACTATTTAATAATGTTTTTTTAAGGATTAAAACAACGACGATTCACGTAATTCGATGGCTCCGTTTATTATCGTATGTTTGAAACTCAAATTTTGTGCCACGAACATTTTTACATGACCAATGTACAGTTTCTCCTTTAACGTTACTCTACATAAATCAATTTCATATCAAAACATAGAACAAGGTGCAAATGGAAAAATTATGAGATACGATTTTTTACGTAGTATGGAAAATACATAGTTTAGTATGTCTTTGTTACAGAATTAATATAACAGTGGCTCGGTGTAGATGAATGATATCAGTGTGGGCAGCGTTTGCGTTGCGGCGAGTGCGGACAGCGACAACTGCAGCAGTTGCATTGAGCGCCCGCCACAGAGCCTTGCGCCTCGCCTGCACTTGCTAAGCTGATAAACAGAATTACATCTAAATATCCTCTGAGCCGGACTAAGTTTGTGCTTATATCTCAATAAGAACAACTGACCGGAATGGTGCAGTTTTACACAATATTACTTTACTAAACAAATTCACAGTCTTTATTACAAAAAAGTGCAAAATAGAACTTGCGAAAAATTAGGTCGCGAATGTCTCTATTCCAAACGAAAATGTTTGTACATAGTTTGATGAAAAAGTTTCGCTAAAATATATGACATTGGTTTATGTTGTGAGCTAACAGAAAGTATAAATATTTTCGTGAATGATGACTGAATATTTCCTTGTCTGACCGATGAATAAATCTTCTTTTATATTATTATGGACACAAATACACATGTTAATGAGGCGAACGATAACTTTAAACAGCAGTGAATAAATAACAGCAGTACTTATATAGTACCATGACTCATGGTAAATACATTAACTCACATTAAACATAACAAGCAGTAACTTAAAATAAACTGATATGTAACTGCGGAATTCTTTAAAATAATCTGTTTCAATATATGTATTAAGAAAAGCCGTCGAAATAAAAAACGTAGACGAGGCGAAGGTTTAAATCGTAGTTTACGAGCGTGCAGAACCAACGTCTCGATCTAGACCCGGTCGCGGCTTCCTGCACGACTCTGTCTATGTCTAAAGACCTAGGTGAGACAGAGAAGGGGCGACGGCGACGGACAAACTATAAACTAAATAAAAGGCGCTCGATTTGTAATGTAATGCGAAACTCCAAGGATATGCGTGTAACGAAACGTGGAAGGCGACGAGACTCGCGTTACGTAAGTGGTTCAAGGCGGGTCATTGGCAGCAGACGGTGTTTCGATACAGACGCGGCCCAGACGCGCAAAAAAGTGAAACCTATCATTTTGCCTTGAGAGCGAGCGGCCGCCATGATGCAATACAAAGCGCGGCCGCCGCAGCAATCCTTCGAGCAACTGCCTGATGGCGAGATGCTCAATCGACAAATAGTTTAGTAAATACATAGTTGCGTCTCCTATACATTTACAAATTAGGCTACTCCTGCTTGTTTTAAATCTGCTGCAAAAACCATATAAAGTTATTGCTCCTCAAACCATAAGTTCACCAATTAAAATAAAATAATATTTATTTCTATACTATTCAGCATGAGGGCTAAAATAATAGCAATGTGCTTTTGTTCTGCTTTCTGAGCATAGAAGAGTGTTAATGCTAGGCCACACATTAATGCTAGTGGCAATAAAACTATAATATGTACCAACTAGTACAAGCTTTGCAATTTTCAATAACACAAATAAAGCCATACAATACTGTCCTTTTAACTAAGACTAAGTTAAGGTTAATACTGCAGCATAATGTTACAATATGCAAGCTACAAAAAATCTGGAATTTGTATTACTTAAAGTAATAATTAACTTAAACAGACAATATATCCAACCAGTAGCACAATTAAAATAATCATTACCCTTATGTCAGTGGAGAAATATATAGAGTAAATTGTTAGTTAAACTTTATATGCACTTTTTATTAGTGATTGCATGCAACTCCATCCGCCCCATATAAAAAAAACTTATTAAGTGAAAAGCTACGTATTCTTCCAGATTTTTTACATTTGTGCAAAATTTTATTGAAATCTGTTGAACAATAGTTCAACATAAAGAATACTCTAGATAATACTTACACATTTATTATAATAGTAAGATGTAAGAGTATTGCAATCTATCTCAAAGCATTTCTTCATGCTTAAGATATTAAATTTTTACTATTTTAAATAAATTTCACCAACAAGTATGATTAAGAGAACAAGCTGCAGTAATATTGAATGTTACATCTGAGACATTGTACAACTGCACACAATACAGAACCTGTTGCTGCCATCAAATCCCAACACTGGTTATACACACTTTTCCTCATGTGCAAAAAATACTGCCTCAACCAAGTGATAATTTCATACAGCACTAATGAGAACTATTGTAACCACTATCATGTTAAAAGTCAATCAAGTATTACTCAAAACATAAAAGGTTTGGTTTTAAGTGAACATAGAACCTGTGAGTAGAGTTTGTCCCACTCACTGCTTCTCTCATCATAAAGTTACATCTGACTAATATTATAAATGCAAATTTTTGGATGTATCAATGAATAGATGTTTGATCTCGCTGAAATTTGACATAGATGTGGAACAAAGTCTGTAAGAACTACAGGTTACTAATTAAGTTTTTTTGTAATCTCTTGCGGATGGAGTCTAAGGCAAGTAAGGAAATGCACCTCCAGTAGAATACATTTATAATGTCAGAAGAAATCAACAATGCTTCTTTGCTTTTTGTCTTTTCCTTATATTGGAATAACCATGTCTTATACTACTGTGTACTAATGAAGACAATACTATCATCAAATTATCATGTATTGATATGAATAAATTGTGATAAAAATTCTTCAGCCGTTAAATATTGTTCTGTGTCATTATGTTTCTACTTCAACCTACATCTCCCATAACATTCATATTGTTCTTGCACTTTTATGTTTTTTACTATGTTTTCACCTGTGAGGACAGTACTATCAATGTCAACATTCCTGTTGCTGGTAAAACTGAGACCTGCTCGGACTCAAAACAATCATATTGGTCTATGAAACTGGCTAGTTTATTGAAAACATCACAAAAAGTAACATTTCTCTATAGGCGAGTCATAATATCCAACATTGTTATAAAGAAGAAAATCAACATCATCATCATCAACCTGCCCTTATCCCTATCGAGGGTTGGCACAGTATGTACTACTCCTCCATACATCTCTATCAGCTGTCATATCCGAGTCTACCCCCTTCCTACGCATATCCTCTTTCACACAGTCATTCCATACTTTTTTTGGTCTTCCTCTACCTTTGTAACTATCCGCATTCAATCTCATTACTTATTTGCTTATATCATCATCATCCCTCCGCATAACATGTCCAAACCACGCTAATCTTTTACTCCTCAATTTCTCTATCACTGGTGCTACTTTCAAATTTCCTCTAATATACAAATTTTTAACTTTATCCTTTCTTGTCACACCACACATCCATCTTAGCATACGCATTTCAGCTACATGCAATCTTCTTTCATCTGAAACCCATTGGTGGCCCAACATTCAGATCCGTACAATATGACAGGTCTTAGGATGGACTTGTACATCTGTCTTGAAAATCATCCTGCTGTGTAATTACATCATAACCAGTTGGTCAATGTAAGCAGACTCATAACAAACAATCCTAATTAATATACAAACAACACATTATGCTGAAACTTGTAAACTCCAAAATATTTCTGGTATACAAGTTTTTCTCAAATAGCACTAGTTATCTTTATTTCAGCAAATGTCCTTTCTTTAGCTCCACAATTTCACGAAATAACTTAAAAAGTGACATATCGTAATATCAACCATGTATTAAACCAAGCAATTGTTAAAAGTTTATTTTAGAACTTAAGGTTAAAAAATTGGCTTTGATACAAGAGAGCAGTGTGACACTATATGGAATGTCATTTGATATTGTTATCATGAAATTAGCTGTATTATTTGTATAAAAATCTAAGTGTTTCTTAATGAAAATATGATTCAGAACCACAATAGGCTAGGTATGCAATAGGAATTAAAATAATAAGCAGTTAAAGGTAAGAGAAGAGCACAAACAGCCAAGTGACCATGTCATTCTGTTGTGTACTGGTTGGACTTGAGCTAGAAGCAATAAAATAAAGTCTATAAACTACATACCTCCACAAAGACCTCACACTGTTAAAAGAACTGCTCATCATATTAATGTTGAAGCCAATTCTGACTATTTTAACTTAGTGTTACCAAGTCATGGGGACATGAACAAACACAATTTGCTCACCACATCTTCACTGCTCACCAACAAATCATAAAAACAAGTAATGTCTTCATTCCTATTCATGGATTTCAAAAAAATCGAATTCTACAAACAAAGTGACACCACTTTCCTTTGTCTTTGACAGTCATATGAAATCCTTTGTCCTCTGCTATATTACCTTGTTAAAGTGAAACAATTTGCACAATTACAAGATAAAACAATAAATTTTCTTCCAAAAACCACTGGCACATTACACAAGCGTTGCCCAGACCTTTCGACCGCTGTTAACAAAGAAACACAACGTAAAGGTTATCTTGACAGCTGAACAGCTGTAGGGCCGCAGAGCGATCATTTAGCGGATTTCACGTATACGTAAGCGTGGGCCGCGAAGGTGAAAGATCGTGTCGCTCCCGGTGAGGCCGGCGGGGAGGATGACGAGACTTAGCAGACGTAGGCGCGGTCACTGACCTGCCATGGTGCCGGCGAGCTCGGCCGTCGTCCACGTCCAGCCCAGCCGCAGACCTGCAGCCCGACGCGACGGTCCCGAGGCGGCGGTTCCGGCTCCGGTGAGATGTCCACACCGGCCCGCCCGATGAGAGGTCGCACACAAAAAATCGATAGGTCGTCAACCTCCACCGGCCGTAGCACCTGACCGGGCGGGCCGCCGCACCGTCGCCTGCCGCCGCACGATTCCGCCGGCGGAACCCTTCGAGGCCTCAATACTTGCGATATAACAAACCCGAAATCGCCATTTTGAAACGGGAACAATGAAATATTTACTTTTGGACGTTAGCACAACAGTAAACGTCCTGTAACACGGTTAACTAAAACGGCGCGAAACAAAAAGCGTCTCGAACGCTGTACCGCTTTAAATAAATACGTACTCTGACTAGAAATTCCTTCGTCACCGCTGCCGATATCCGACATCTCAATCCACACCGAATTCTATAGGCAATCCACCAATCTTTTCGGAACCTCTCGTCGGACAGCTCGCCTTGTCTATAGTTTCAAAGCCATCAAAATATAGTTGTTTATGGCGCAATTTAAACCGTTTGGAAACTAATTTCGCAGTTAAAAATAAAATTAAAAAAAACAATTTCCAGTTAAAATAAAAGTATGTAATTTTTAAGCGATTATTAATTATTTAAAAAATAAATTCACATTTACAATTCAAGTGGTTTGAAGTTCAGTACTCAAAGATTTTTGTCTATGAAATTGACCAGAAATTATTTTTGCTTGACGAGTCAAGTGTTGCCTTTACAATAAATTCAACAATTATTTTACCTGTATAAGAAATAATAATTTTACCTGTAACTTTATTTTCGTACAAACCAGTTCAAACACTTTAATTAATAAAATTATAGCAATATATGCCGAATCACAGATGAAGCCATGACATTTAGTCAGATTTGCTAATATAGTTTATAAAAATTGAGTTTTCATATGGGAATACTAAACAGCGCTTAAACATAAGGAAGGTCTCAGACCATTTTACGCTGTCTATTATATTTAGTTACGTTATATAAAAGGTAAGTATTCCACCCTAATTAGGTTTACAAAGCTGTCTGAAATCAAACCAAATCATAACGACTGACTGAATCTCCCCTGTCAACGTCATATGTCACAAAATCCACTTTAGAGTACATTGTAATTTTCTATGACTAAGTAGGCTTTATGTATATTCAGAGAGCGATAATAGTCCCCATACCGGTTCAGATATCTTTGTTTGATTATGTTCAAACTCTGACAACTGGTCTAGAGGTCTCTGGGACTAGGGGGTGGCGGGAAGCGGGTGGCGGGGAGCGGGGAGCGGACACAATAAAACAGCACTATAATATTACAAATGACTATAATTTTGTCACAATTTTTCCATACAATGTTAATAACTTTTTACCTTACCACTATTTATAATACATTACTTAAATATTATTAATGTATTTAATTAATTAAAAATTCTTCCTGTTTAAATGTCTAGTTACATTCCACGGAGCCAGATTCGGGAGACTTTCAATCGCTGATCCAAACGGAAACAAAAGGACGCATACAAAGTGAAAAGAAATTTGAGAAACACCGAGTACTTTACAATACGCTAAGACGTAATTCGATTAGATCTTACAATGTACTAAAATATTTTCTTGCTTAGTCCGCTACGAGAAGTATCGTTAAAACTGTACAAACATGTGGAGTGCGTCGCCGCCGGCAGCGGTCAGCGGTCAGCGGACAGCGGACAGCGGTCAGCGGACACCGCACGCCTTATATCATTAATTCATAATAATAGAGATAAAGGTCTCGATAAATTGTACTTTACATGCGCATGGCTCGCGCCGGCCCTGGAGCCGCGGCCGGCGCGGACCTCAACAACAAACAAGC